GCACTGCCCCGTCCTCCGAGCACTGCCGGGTCCTCCGAGCACTGCCCCGTCCTCCGAGCACTGCCCCGTCCTCCGAGCACTGCCGGGTCCTCCGACCACTGCCCCGTCCTCCGAGCACTGCCCCGTCCTCCGAGCACTGCCCTATCTTCCGGGGACGTGGGAACAGGAGGCCGCAGGTCCGGGGACACCAGAGCTCGCCCACAGCCTGGGGGGCGGGACAGGGAGCGGCCCAGCTAATTCTCTTTGTTCTGTTGTTTCCCCCACTTTCCTCAACTCTTTTTTTTTTTCATTTTCTTTTTCTGATCCCGTTCTTTTTTAAATTTCTTTTCCCTTCGTGTGTGTGCGTGTGTGTGAACACTTGAAAAGCTCGCAAACCCAAACGTACGGGGCCTCCAGGTAGGAACGCATGTCAGCTGTGAACCGACCGTGTGCTGTGGTCCCTCGTTCTGTCTGGGTTTGTCGGGAGCCAGTACCGGCCCAGAGCCCGGCCAGCGGAGCCCCTGCCCGCTGTCCACAGGCGCTGGGAGGTCAGGCCAGAAGGCCGTTTATGACACCCCCCCCCCGGAGCCCACGTTGGAACCCCTCTTCCTCTCCCCTAACCCTCCTTCCCTGAACCGACCCCCGCCCAGGGCTGCCTCTGACTGCTGGTTCCGATGGTTCTGTTTGTCTTCTGCTCCTGCTCTGCTTCCCTTGCCCCCCTGCCTTGTCTTGGAGCTGCGGCCCCCTCCCGCTACTCCCCACGCCTTCGGCCCCACCTAGAAAGGCAGCTGAAGAGGCTGAGGTGGGGTGTCCACCGTCCCAGCTCAGGGGCCCTGCGTCCAGGGGCAAAGGGACTTCCTAGATCAGAGTGAACTCCTCCATTCCTGCCAGCAGGACCCACGGAGGTGCAGGGGGAAGGGAAGGGGTGCGTGTCTGGGTCCCTGTACCGGCTCTCCCTCTGTGCGGTCTCTGCCCCCCCACAGTCCTCACAGCAAGAGGGAGATGTGGAGGCCCTGGGAGCAGAGACAAGTCCGCACCAGGTGGCTCTCATCTGAAGGCGGGAAGGGGGTTATTTCCCCAGATGAGGGGGGGCTGGGATGCTACAGGAAGCTTCACGCTTGCTACAGTGGCCAGGGTCCCCTCTGTGGAGTCTCTCCTTCAGCGAGATGTGCCCTGCAGAGTGGACGCCTTTAGCCCGGGGTGAGCCTCCGCACGGACCCCGTCCCCATCCCCTTCGGGCACGGCAGTAGGCAGCACATAACTCCTGCACCTCCAGAAGGGGCCGTGAGGGCCAGTCTCTGCTCACGGGATGGGTCTCTGGGTGCCCTGTGGCATCACTCCCCCGCCACCCGACACCCTTGGACTGCTGGCTGCAGTGCTCAGAGGCCTCGGCTGAGGCCACGGTGCTGGCGAGGGCAGGACCTTCCTGCTGATGGACTCCTGGGCTCCTGGGGCACTGGCCCATCCAGGAAGCTGGGGCCCTCCTTCAGGCCCTGGCGGTCTCCTCCTCGCCCTGGGGTGAGAGCCCACCTCCGGGACCAGGCCTCCAGGAGTGAGATGCCCCCACGTGTGGGAGGCTGCCCCTTGGGGCCTGGTGGCTGGCGCTGTCCTCTCAAAGCCGGCTGCCCCCGCTCCCCGAGCCAGCGCTGACCTCTCCCCAGGAAGGACCTTACCCTCGGCACCCTCTGACTGCACCCCCTCCTGCCCCCTCCCCCGTCAGCACGCTGTACCTCCTCCTCCACCTGACGCCCCCTGGGGTTGGGGCAGGGCTGCGTGGTCTGTGGTGCGTGGTGGTGGTGTATGCATGGCTGTGCCCCCAGTCTGTCCTCAGTGCTGCTTGTGGGGTTCCAGGCATGTCCTATCCAGCTGAGGCACCAACCCCCATGTCTCTACCCTGGACCCCTGCTCCCTGCCCCACTCATCATCCTGGTGGGCTGGTGGACGGGGTGGGAGCAGGGCCGGAAAGCAGTAAGCACGGTACGCACGGGCTTAATTGTGTTTATTTACTGCTTTCTAGTGTGCAGTTTCACGTGGGTTTTGATGCGGTGAGACCCACGTGAAATCGTGCACTACAGATTAGTAAGTAAACACAGTTAAGCCCGTGCGTAACTTGCTTATGGAGTAATCCGTCCCGGGTGGGGAGGCGGCTCTGGACCGCACCCTGGCTGGTCTGCTGCCCTTGGCCTGAGCTGACTGACCCACTGCCTGGGCCTCCTGCTCAGCGTCCTAACCCATAACCCACCCCATGGGGCGGGCAGACCCTCTGGGGGAGAGCGAGTGTGTGCTTGGGGGCTGTACAGGCCCCCTCCCAGTCAGCGCCTGTCTCCGGGCATCTGCCGGACCTGCAGGGGGACAAAGGGGCCAAGTGCAGCTCCACCTACTCACAGCCTGCCAGGGGGTCCCAGGTGTAGGGCTCACAGGGCTTGGAGTGGGGCGGCCTGGCTGTGGGGAAGGGTTTTGCAGTGGAGGGACTCCATAAGCAGGGGCAGAGCCGCTGAACTCAGGGGTGCTGGGGGACAGCTCCACCCCTTGCGAATGCGAGAGGGGAGAGCAGAGGAGACTCAGAGCAGAGCCAGAGACTCAGCTGGGGCCCCTTGTTGGGGCCTTCAGGGCCAGGTCGAGTCGGTGATCTTTCATTATGAAGGTAGTGGGGAGCCAAGAGTGTTCGAGCAGGGGAGTGACACAAAGAGCCGCAGATCTAGGAGGACGAGGTGGGGAGGGGTCAGAGTGGAGAGGCTGGAGGGGGGATTCCCAGGAGGACCCCGGGCAGAGCAAGGAGGCACTGCTGCCCGACTCAGGGTCAGGAGGGAGACGAGGGTTCGAGTCTGCACATGCCGCATTGAGGGCTCCGGCCCCCCAGGAGGGGACGGCCATGCCACGTGGTCACCTGATCGCAGACAGGGATCCCAGACGGGCTCAGGGCTGGGCGGAGGTCTGTGGGGGAGAGGGAAGCTGGGGAGTGTGGTCACTGAGAGGAGGACGGGGAGAAGCACCCTCCACCCCAGGGTCAGAGGCACCCCCACAGCCACTCACAGCTGGAAGGACAAGATGGAGGCAGGGCTGGGGGCTCTGGGTCCCAGTGGGGGCCTCTGGGAGTGGTTTCCAGAGGGTTTGGGCGGTGGGGGTAGTGGGTGTGAGGCCGAGAAGTCAGGGCCCTGGAGGATCCCTGAAAGCATGTGTGTCCAAGGGGGCAGCTGGTGGTGGAGAGGAGGGGCCTTCCTCCTAGCAGACAGATGAGAAGCTGGGGGCGCAGAGATTTCCAAGTGTCGGGAGGCTCTAGAGGTGCAGGTTCTCCTGGGAGCGTCCCCGACCGACTGCAGAGTGGCTGAATATGGTGCAGGGTGACCCACCTGGGAAGGAGGCTTGGAGCAGAGCCAGGCTGAATTGTGGGGGTTCTGTGGCACGTGGGCCTGACAGGCAGGGGCTCCCCCAGCCTCCGGGGGCACACCCTAAGGACCCGAGTGGGCTTCTGCCCAGCAAAGCCGCTTCCTGTGACCCTGACGCCCCCTCCCAGCTTGGGCAAAGTGGCTCTGTGGAGAGGGGTTGGGGATCCTAAATATGTTGGGGTGCTATCTGACAGCTGGCACGCCCCAAGGGTGTTAGGGAAAAAGGGGAGAAGTGAGAGCTGGAGGCCCTGCCTCACCTGCTCTGGGGTCCCAGCGAGAGGCCTGGGCGCCGTGCCCCTCCCCTCGGCGTCCCCGTTGTCACCGCAGGGGGTGACGGTGGCTCCCCGCGGGGGATGGAGGCCCCGAGCCCCGGGTGGCCCCACCTTCACAAGCCCCTCTCCGTGCCTGCCCCACATCCAGCCACTCCGCAGGGGTGGACGGGGTGGTGGGCGCCTCCCTGGACCCTGACTCCTCTCCTCTCCCCCAGGCTGATCCCACCCCTCAACCAACTGGAGCTGCTGCGGAACCTCAAGAGCAAATCTGGTCTCACCTTCAGGTCAGCATGGTGGCCCCACGCTGGGGGATCGTGCTGCGGGGAGGGGCCCCACACAGGACGGGCTGGGGAGAAGCCTATAGGAGGGGCGCTGGGGGAGGAGCCTCTCCATGCTGAGGACTGGTCCCGGCAGGGTTAGGGGTCAGGCCAGGACAGGGCCCCCAAGCAGGGCATATGCCTATAGAGGGGGAGGGGGCCGGGCCCCACACAAGGTCAGGCCCAGCACAGAGGAACAAGCCCCACGCAGCACCCCGTTGGTTGGGTAGATCGAGCATTGCCTACTCGGGCACCGTCCGCATCGGCCGTGGGTGAGCGGGACTCATGGCCCGAGTGTGACCTGCACAGCTGCTTTTTCCTGCGCTCACTGACCACGGAATGTTCTGGCACCTGGGGTGGGGCAGACGGGGAGCAGGAGAAGACAGTCCCTGTGTGAGCCCGCCCTCTCGCGGGGGTGGGGGTCCAGGCTGAAGTCAGAGCACTCCACGTCCCCCAGGCCTCCTAAGCTGGGTCTGGAGCTTTGGGGGAGTGCTGGGGGTCTTAGCCTTCCCAAGGGGCCCGCTGCCCGGTGGGGGTCTCAACCAACCAGTCAGGGAGCTCCTGGTGTGCTGGGGTGTGCAGGCACAAAAGGCTTGGGGACATACCCAGGGCAGAGGAAGTGTCCCAACCCTCCATCCTCCCTCAGGGTGGTTTCGGGGATGTGCATTGGGGGAGCCCCCTGGTCCTCCCTCTTCCCCAAATCCACAGGTGTGCAGAGGAGAGGGGCTTGTCCCGCCGGAGAAGTAGGGATGAGGGTGCTCACAGCGGCGCCCGATGCGGGTGGCTATCCCAGATGGCTCTGAAGAGCCCCCAGAGGGCAGGGGGTGGGCTGTGAGACCTGGGCTCGCAGAGACATGCTGGACAGGCAGAACATCGTCCCTTTTCTCCACGTCCCTGCTCTAGGCGGGCTGGGGCTGGGGAGGGGTGTCGGGGCTGGGAGTGCCCCCTGTGGCTATGCTTCCCCACACATGTCCCTGGACGGGGCCTCTTTGGGGTGGGTATTATTCCTGAGGGGAGCCAAGGTGGCCCAGGGGTGGGTCCTGAGGACCCTAGCTCCAAGCGGACTTCAGGCCCAGCATTTTGCCTCACTGTGTCTGCTTTGCTCTGCCCCGTCACGGTGCCCGGGTGCGACTCATGCAGTGTTTGGGAGCACAGACAATCCACTGAGTAATGCCGGAATCTGCCTGAACGATGGTCCTGAGGGGCCCAAGGGCCTGGCCTGCCGTATCCTTATGGGTCAGCTGAGTAAAGATCCAAGCCACCAAGCCACTCATTTATAACGGGTGCTACCAGCAGAAATACTCAACCCCAAATAAGACCGAGGCACAGAAGGCTTGCAGGGAAGCGAGGCCTGGGGCCGTTGGCTCAGTGGGGTTTCAGGGGGCACCTACACCCGTTCCTGGATCTGGTATAACTGTCGGCTGATCCCAGCCTCCACTGGAAAATTACGCAGATGAGACTAATTCCATTAAGTTAAAAACGGAAAAAAAAAAAAAAAAACCAAGCAGCTCATTCTGTGTGGAATTAAATTGTCCTATTAGAGCTTTTTCCAGAAAATACTTCCGGGTGGAAACATTATGAATATTGCTGTGATTCTGATTAAAACGAGTGTTCACAACTTTGGAGGGGGGGGGGCGGCATGACCTCAGGGTCAAACCACCCTGGGGCTCCCTCCAGAGCTCCCCCTTCCTCAGAGCCTGCCTCCTCTGACCCCACGGATGTCCCCCAGAAGGGCAAGGGCTCCTGGGGCATGGGGGTGTCTCTGCGCCTGCCTGGCCACACTGAGTCCCTCACGTGGGGGTGTGGAGACAAGGTCAGGCCCGAAGGGGCTGGGCGGGTCAGGTGGGCCCTTGGTGGCTTCTCGGGGAGGCCCCTTCTGCTCGACCACTGGGCTCCCCTTGGGGGGCGTGACCCGGTGGCCCGTGACTAACTCTCTTGCTCCTCTGTTTAAAGGAAGGAGCCTCAGCCGGAGCCTTCACCAAGGTCGGTACCCGTCCTGCTCTCTGTGTGCCCTGCTGTGTTTGCGTGCACGCTCGCGTCTGTGTGTGTGCCCCTGTGTCGTTCAGAGAGGGCTGAGGACAGCCATACGCACTTCCGCCTTTGAGCCTGTAACTTCGTCTGAACCTGACAGGCAGTGACGCTGGGCCTTACACCACCTTTCCTGCACTCACTCCTCTGGGAACAGGCTTGCCCTGTAGTGCTTGGAGGGGGCTGGGGAGCTTCTCGGGGGGCTCCCCCACCCGCCCAAGAGGCCAGCCCGGGGACACTGCCAGCTCCAGGCACTCAGCCTGAGCTCTTGGCTGGTGGAGCTGAGACAGGCCCAGGTGAGATCTCGGAGCAGGCACCCTCCCTCCTGACTGGGTGCCAGAGGGGAGTCCTGGGAGTGTCTATGGGAGACGGCCCCCGTTTAGAGAGGGGGTGGGTTGTTGAAGGTCTCCGGAGCAAGCGTAAGGCAGGCTGAGGTCCCCGTGTCTTCCCGGGGAAGTCTGGACACCCTTTCCCACCTTCAGCCCCTTGATGGATGCTCCAAGCCCACCCTCTTGGGCGCTTGCCCCACTGAGGCAGGCCAGGAGCTGTCAGGTGCTGCTCGTCCCTCTGGGCCCTGCTGGTCCCCGTGTGGATGGCAGGGAAGTGACCGCCAGGGGACTGGCTTTGGCTGTGTCAGGCAGGTGCAGAGACAGGGAAGCCTGGTGAAGCAGCCACGTGGCAAAGCCTCCGCTGGGCCGAGAAGGTGGGAAGAGTCTACTGTTCTAGTATTGACGATAGTCAAGAGCAGTTCACAGATCCCAAGTCTGACCTCCAGGCCACCTTTGCCTGACCTTGCTGAGCTCCTGAGCTTCTCTGAGCTCGGACGTGGCCCAGCGCCCCACCCCACACCGCAGAGCAAGTCCGGGCCCAGACCCTGGTTGGAAATGGACGATGGCCACCTGCCCCCACCCCGCCAGGGACCAGCCCTTCTGAGGCGCTAGGGGAAGGATGTGGAGTGGCAGGACCCCTCCCCACCCCTGGAAGGGGACACACCCCTCCTCCATCTCCCAACCCCACAGGGGGAGCACGGTGGGACTTGACTTAGAAAGACTGGCAGCACTTCAGCCCCGAGCCAGCCAAGAGCACAGCCAAGGACTGGAAGCCCTCAGAGGGTTCCAGAAGCTTGCAGTGGAGTCAGGTAGCATTGGCTCTGCCCCAGTGCGGCCAGCTGCTGATGCTGGACTCTCGCTGTCCTTGGCACTCGAGATGGAGAGTGGCCTGTGAGGCTGTGGTGGTGGAGGGCGTGTGTGTGCTGCCCCACCTGGCGGGTAGAGTGCCCAGGAGACACATTGTCACCATTTCATGGTCACCATCAACCAGCACGGCCTGACATTCTCCGCGGAGTCTGCTAGAGAGGAGGGTGGACAGGCTGCCTCTGGGGCCGGCAGGGCCTCTGGCCTGTTCCTGAGTGGTGGACGGAGGCCCCTCCCGGGCCATCTCAGGCTTTCCCCCGCCCCATCCAGATCTCTTGCCAGGGGAAGGTGGCCCAGTGCCCCCGACTCCTCCACCTGACTCAGCTCCTGTGCTTGTTGCCATGGCTTTATCCCCCTCCCAACAATTTCGTCTCAGCCTCTCTCTCTCTCTCTCTCTCTCCCTCTCCCTCCCCTTCTCCCGCCCTCTCCTCTCCCCAATCCGGAAACTCTTGCCTCCCACTCCTAAGCACTCTTACTCACTGTCCCTGCCCTGCCCGGGGGCCCCTGTCACGCCTGCTCTGTCTGTGGGGATGAGGTGGTGGCCTGAAAGCAGGACTCCAGGTGAGGACACAGGTGGGCCCTCCGGGGTTCTCTGTGGAATGTTCCGTGCCCTGTCCCCCTCCGGGGTTCTCTGTGGAATGTTCCGTGCCCTGTCCCCCTCCGGGTTCTCTGTGGAATGTTCCGTGCCCTGTCCCCCTCCAGGGTTCTCTGTGGAATGTTCCATGCCCTCCCCCTCCCCCTCAGGGGTTCTCTGTGGAATGTTCCGTGCCCTGTCCCCTCGCCACAGTTCTTTATGGAATTTTCCGTGCCCTGTCCCCCTCCAGGGTTCTCTATGGAATGTTCCATGCCCTGTCCCATCCAGGGTTCTGTGGAATGTTCCATGCCCTGTTCCCTCTCCACAGTTCTCTGTGGAATGTTCCGTGCTCTGTCCCCTCTGGGGTTCTCTGTGGAATGTTCCGTGCCCTATCCCCACCCCAGAGTTCTCTGTGGAATGTTCCATGCCCTGTTCCCTCTCCACAGTTCTCTATGGAATGTTCCATGCCCTGCCCCCACCCCAGGGTTCTCTGTGGAATGTTCCATGCCCTGTTCCCTCTCCACAGTTCTCTATGGAATGTTCCATGCCCTGCCCCCACCCCAGGGTTCTCTGTGGAATGTTCCGTGCCCTGTTCCCTCCAGGGTTCTCTGTGGAATGTTCCGTGTCCTGTCCTCCTCTGAGGTTCTCTGTGTAGTGTTCCATGCCCTATCCCCCTCCAGGATTCTCTGTGGAATGTTCCATGCCCTGCCCCCCTCCAGGGTTCTCTGTGGAATGTTCTATGCCCTGCCCCCCTCCAGGATTCTCTGTGGAATGTTCCATGCCCTGCCCCCCTCCAGGGTTCTCTGTGGAATGTTCCATGCCCTGCCCCCCTCCAGGGTTCTCTGTGGAATGTTCTGTGCCCAGCCCCCTCTCCACCGTTCTCTGTGGAATGTTCCGTGCCCTGCCCCCCCAATACCCACACTGATCCTCCATCTCTTCCCGGTGTGTGTCCGTGTGGTGTCCCAGGGGCCAGTGCCTGACCGGGGGTCCTCGGGTGTTGGGGAGGCTCCTTCAGATATGAGGGGACTGGGTGGCACCCAAGATGCAGTGGGAGTGAGGAGGGGTCTCTGAGGATGAAGATCCCCACCCAGGCCCTGGGCACACACAGGGTGCTGGGAATCCACCCAGCGCTTCTTACCGCAGAGGCTGTGCCTGCCCTGGTTCTGAAAGATCTGAGAGGCAGGTGACCCCTTAGGCACCCCGTCTGTGCAGTCAAACCATGGACAGCCTCTGCCTGCCCCTTGGGTCCGGAGCCCACCCTGCACGGGGACACATGGGCATATGGGAGCCACCTGTGTTCCTTGGACCCCAATGTGGCCCTGCAGTTGGCATGGGCTGCCCAGGCCTGAGTGGGCACCGGGCAGTGGAGAGCAGAGCTCTGGGGCCGCACTGACCGGCCACTCCAGGTGGGAGGGTTCTTGTCAACCATCTATCCGACCTGTGCTTTGTTTTGTCCCAGCCCATCCCCACCTGCCTCCTGTGTCTGGAGGGCCCCTTCCCCCGACTCTCCCTTCCCCCCCCCCCCACCTGCGTTTCCGTTCGCCTCTGTCCTGTGTGGTCCTGGGCAATGTCTGGGCACTTGTGCCCCATGTGAGCCCAGCCCCCGGGGGGGAGTTCAAGTGCCTCACGAGGGCCTGCAGGCTGCCGGGCAGTTCTCACGCAGTGACACCTCTCTCCCGCCAGCTTCTAGCTTGTGAGACTGGGCAGCGTCACAGGACCTGAGTGGGGGTCCTCAGCGCCTCAGCAGTGGGGTTGCGTTCGGGGGCGGTTGCTGCCAGGGCACTTCCCCTCCCAGTGTGGTCCGCCTCTAGAACTGTCTGTCTGGTCAGGAGCCACCAGCCACTGTGGCTGCTTAGCTGAGAGCTCGTTAAAATAACATGAAGTTAGAAATCAATCCTCTGTCCCACCAGCCACATTCAGGTGCCCAGTGGCCACGTGTGCCTGTGGTCACCGCATCACACAGCACAAGTCTAGAACATTCCACCATCACTGCAGGGCCAGGGAAGCGCGTCTTGGGCAACTCGATTGTGTTGGGATTTATGAGGCAGCAAAGGTGATCTGGGGTTGGTCCAAACAGAGATTCTCAGTGGACTATGTGTGACAGGTACCCTCCGTGTTTGAACAGAGGGTGGGAGAAATCGCCGCGCTGAGCACTTCCGTCCTGCGAGCCTGTTTCTCCCCTGAGCAGAGGCCGATGTGCTGTCTGGGTTCGTCGGACACAGTTTGAGAATGGTTGTCTCAGTGGGAACAGCCACAAAGTGCAGAGAGGGGCACCAAGGAAAATGAAAACCTTTCATGGTTGTTTATTGCTTTTCTTTTTTGCTTCAGAGTGCTCTAATCCAGAGGGACAGTTCAAGAACCTTTGTGTGGGGTGGGGGGAAGGGCGGCGGTCTTGGGAACGCGTTAAAGGCTGTTGGCACTTTTTCTCCAGAATCTCCCCAGGCAGGTTGGCCTCTGCCTGGCTGAGGGCTTCTTGCAAGCACTACAGGAAGGTCCTCTGAGACTCGAGATGAACCCCCAAAGGAGAGACTGGCTTTGGTAAAGGCCTTTGCAGTCTAGGTGCCCCGGGGCCCAGACTCCTTCTCCTTAGCTTCGCTCTGAACAGCAGCAGATGCTGCCTTCTGGGTAAACTGAGGACCCATTTTGACTGTGGAGCCAGCTGGGTGTGGTGAAGCCTCATGATTGCTTTGTGAACCAAACCGCACATCCCCCCAAATGTGTCCACTGCAGACCAGACCCTGTCAGGGGCCATGCCATCCGTAAGGCGTCCTGCGAACTCTTAGCGTATGTATTATTTGTTTGTTGGCATGATCGGAGCAAAAAATAATACATCTTTGAAAAGACATGAACCCCAGCTCTGGCTTTGGACGGAAAAGGTATTTTTGGAGGAAAAACAGGATTTTCTTTTTCTCTCCAAAAATGGAGGCCTCTTTTCTTTTCCAGGCTGGTGCAAGACTTCCCATAAAGCCGTTCTCACGATGCTTCCCCAGCCCGGGGCTGCAGGCGGGCAGGGCCAGGGCGCCGAGTGGTGCCTCGGTTTCCCCCACGCCGCCCCGTTCCGGCTGCAGGCCGCACACTAACTGCACTCTCCTCGTTTCCACTAGAGGCAGACTGAGCAGAGAGTCCCTGTGTGGATGCTGCCCTGGACACTCTAGGTACCGCAGACCCCGCACGGATGGCTCTGCTGCACGGCTCTCTGCCCCTCCCGCCCACTCTGCTTACTAGAGGTCCTAGATGGGGGGGCTGCACCGCCTCTGCCCCGCCCGCCCCGCCCGGCCCGATTGGCCCCTCAGTGGGGGCGGGGCGGAGAGCTCGGGGTGCCCTGATAAAAAAACGGCATCCTGACCCAGGTGGAGCCAGGTGAAGGGGCCACCGCCCCCATCCTTTCTCCTCTGCGTGAAGCAGGGGCCCACTGGGGTCTGCACACCCACAAGGGTGCAGGTGCCTCCTGGTGTCCCCGATGGCTGCGGGGCTGGCCTGTGAGCCTGCCAGTCTAGCACCTCTACTATTCACCGATGGCTCTAAATTGTCCCAGAGCCTGGCCCCAGGGAGCCTGCATTCTGATATTCAGAGAGTCAGAGGCCACCCCCTTCCACACACAGGGCCCCGTGAGGACTGAACACAGGTGGGGGGAAGCTGCCACACTCCCACCCTCCGCACCGTGGACGCCCACCTCCACCCACCTTGATCGGCCTTCCATGTCTCCTCTGTCCACTGTCTGCTCCTGTTGTGTGGACACGTCTGTCCTGCTTGCTCGGGGTCCCCCCGGTCTCTCCTGCCCTCCCCCTTCTTGCCCGTGGACCCAGAATGTTCAGGAGCTGCCCCTTCCCCGCAGGCTGTCCCCCCACCCCCCCGCCGTGTGCATGTGGTCACTGAGTGCCAGCCCTGACAGCCAGGGGCCGGGCATTGGGGCCAGGCCCCCGCATGCTGGTGCATCGGCATCTGTGCATGTTCTGGAACTGTCTTTACCCAGGGGGCAGCTCAGGGCCACCCACCCCCCACGCCTCCCACGAGGCTCACTCCACTCACTGCCTGTTGGTCTTGGAGGTTGGAGGTTGGTGCTTGTGGGGGGCTGTGGCAGCCCCAGAGGCGGGAGATGGGGCTGGGGTGCTCGGGGTGCAGCCAGCTTGGGCCCTGGCAGACCTGTCCTGCTTGCCCTGAGCTTCTGCATCCCAGTGCTGCCAACCACAGGTGGGCTCTTGGGCAGGGGCTGCGGCCAGGCTGTGTGGAGACCACAGGGTCAAGAGGGAGCCCCACCACGTGCAGCCCTTGTCCCGAACGGCCACTTCCCTCTCCTGGCTCCCTCCGGGCATCCAGTGTGATGTGGGCTGGACCACGATTTCCCGGATGCCAGCCCCTGTGCCACTGAGTGAGCTGGCTGTGCTGATGGCCAGGCCAGCTTCCACCAACACCTCCTCTGTGGCCGCGTCTGTCCTTCCTGCTGGTCCCTGGACATTCTGAGTTCCATCTTGGGGGCACAGGCAGGGGAGGGAGCTTGGCTTGCTCCCCCAGCTTGCCCTCCTGTGCCCATAGACACCATCCACCTTCCTTTTATGGGAGTTCCGGCCTCAGGCGGGCAGGAAGCCCCGTCGGGCCACGTGAGCGCCTGGGGAGCAGGCAGGTCTGGGTGGCCGGGTGGGGGCCAAGTGGGGCTGAGAGCCGTGTGAGCGCTGGGCCAGGGGATGCAGTCCGTGTTAATTGTGGAGGCCCGGGGGGGAGGGCCCGTCTGGGAGCCACTCACCTGCCGCCCCCCATCCCGCCCACCCGCTCTGTTCCCTTCTTTGGGAGGAGTCCCTCACAGGCCAGACAGTGCGGCGCCGTGGCTGAGGCCGGTGGGCTGAGGGTTGAGTTGCTGCTGGAGGGGACCCCTCCTCTCCTGGTCAGGTCCGCTGGACTCTGGCTCCTTGGGCTCTGGAACTGCGTCCTCCACGTGTGCAGCTCCGCCCTATGGCCAGTCCTGTTCTCGCCGACTGTCTGTGCCTGGCCATCGCCCCTGCCCCAGCCTCCCATCCGAAGCAGGACTTGGACCTCATTCCTGGCCTTGGACCGCAGAGTGGGTGCGTGTCCTGGTGCAGGCTGTCAGCACCGGGCTCCACCCAGAAGCCCACAGAGATGCCAGACCTGGACTTGGGGCAATCCGCTCCTCGGTCGTCGTGGCTGCGTCACGGCTGTGACTGACTGTCGTCTCCCTCCATCCTGTGTGGCTTGTGGAGCGAGTGAAGGACGCGAGAGTTGCGGTCGCCTCCAAAAGTGATGCCTGCGTGCGAGGCCGGGAGGAGGCCTCGGTCCTGCCTCCGGGAGGCACCGGCTCTCCCATGGAGAACCGTTCCGGAGGTCAGAGTCCTGCTGAGCCTGGACAGGGGTCCACGTGACCTCACTGCTCACATCGCCCCCAGCCAGCTGATTAAAGGGGTCTGATGTTGCGGGCTGGGAGCGGTTTAGACCTTGGACTTGGCTTCTCGATGCCTCCTCCCTCAGCCAGGGTCCTGGCTTGTGGTCTTGTTGGGGCAGAATTGAGAAAGTCGTCCGGAGCTCCTGGCTCCAGGCACCACGGCCAACACCTTCCCGTCTTGGTCAAGCGTCGGGCGCAGTGGAAACAGCCTAGGGACCCAGGACACCTCATAGGCACCAGGGAAGCCTGCACCATTGCCGCCGCTCTGGCTCCCTGAGTGGCACGCTGGGGTTGTCTGCTGGCCCAGGGGCGTCTTTCTCCCTCTCCCCCTTCTCCCAAGGACCTGAGAGACGGCCCAGGGTGTCAGCAGCACCCGCTTCCCAAGGGTGGGCTGCGGGAGGAGCAGCTGTTTTGCCTTGTTGGGGCTGATGGCACCACGGCCCCAGTGCCTCTTCTCTCGGAGTGGGCCAGTGGGTCTGAGGGACTTGGTGAGCGAAGGGGCCCACCTTTGAGGTGGGAGCCGGGCCTTGGACAGGGACCCAAGGAGTCTTACCCTGAAAGGCCAGCCTCATGGGCCCGCCGGGGCAGTAAGTGAGCCAGGCCGTGCCAGAAGGCTCCGTGGGCTCCTTAGCGCAGCGGCCATGAGTGAGTTGTTGGTTTGCGAACACGTCTCTCTCCTCCCGGGCAGAGGATGGAAAACCGCCCAGTGGAGAGGAAGCGGGTGGCTGCCCAACTCCTGGAGACTGGTGCTTCCCAGACCAAGGGCAGAGGCTGGGCCACGTCTGCCTGCACACCCCGACCTGCGCGCCTGCTTCTGAGGGCTGGACACCCAGGTCCCAGCCCACCCCTCCCCTGGCTGCTGCGGAGGGCATCGGAGCCTGCGGAAGTGAGGCCGACGCCGTGATTACCAGGGGGCTGGGGCCAAGAGCCACTGAGAATACGGGAACGATGTTCTGGGGCAGACGGCTGCTTTTCTGCGTCACACCACGTGGCTGCCTCCACCGTCCGGACAGCGAGACTGGCCATGGCCTTGTCCACAGTCAATGGAGGACGCCGCGTGCGTACCCATTGTCCTCCTGAAGCAGGAAGCTGCAGTTCAAGGAATTAACGTGGTCATCTGCAGTCGTGGATGTGTCCTGGCTGGCAGGGGGCTGCTCAGCCGGGGGGACCCCAAGGTTGGGGCAGGGCTGTGCCCTGATTGGGGCAGGACCTTAGCAGAAAACCTGCAGGCAAGGCTCTTCACTTGTGCCACCTCTTCCACCCAGACAGTGGTGGCTGGAGGGCTCTGCAGGCGTGGGCCAGGGCAGGGTCAGCTGGGGTCCCTGCCGAGGCCGCCACACCTGACCCCAGGGCGAGGGGCGCAAGGGGGAGGTGGGGGAGGTCACGCACCTTGTATGGAAGAAGACCCCCGCAGCCCAGGGTGTGGGGGCTCATCTTACCTGGGGGCGTCCCTTGGAGGAGAGGGGAAGCGGTGAGGCAGGACCATGTGGAGAGGCTTCTGATTTCAGGGTCTCCAGAAGTGATTTAAGAGTTCATGATGCTGCCTCCCCGGCCCTGGCCATGGTCTGCGCTGCCGCCGGGAGGGTGACCCCTCCGCCCCCCACCCCTTCTGTCTGAGCTCGCCCTGCCTGGTCTTCCAGTGACTTCTCTTGCTCTCTCTCTCTGTGTCCATCTGTCTGTCTGCTGTCGTTGGTCTCCTGGAGCAGCCAGAAGGTCAGTCTGAAGGACCGTGTCTTCTCCAGTCCCCGAGGCGTGGCCACCAAGGGGAAGGGGTCCCCTCAGGCCCAGACGGTGCGGCGGTCCCCCAGCGCTGACCAGAGCCTCGAGGACAGCCCTGGCAAGGTGCCCAAGAGCTGGAGCTTCGGTGACCGCAGCCGGGCACGGCAGGCATTCCGCATCAAGGGTGCAGCATCGCGGCAAAACTCGGAAGGTGGGTCGGCCCCTGTGCAGAACGCCCTCTGCTGGTGAGGGCGGCCCCACCGTGGCCTCGAGTGGGCAGCTGGCCCTCTGGACTCCTGCCCTGCGGCCATCACAGCCTGTACCGTCAGCTCTTGGGGTGGGGTGTCCCTTAAGCCCCAGCACGAGCTGTGGGCCACCGTCTGCTGCAGTCAGTCCTGGCAGAGAGGAGCAGCTGCAGAAGGCAGGATGGGGAAGGAAGAGGGGAGGGTCTCTGAATGCCACTGCCTCCAGGCCCCTCCCCGCCCTGCAGCCCCTCTGACCCCGGGTAACCCCTCCCCTAACACACCGCTTGTCCTTCCACCCAGAAGCAAGTCTCCCCGGGGAGGACCCCGTGGAGGACAACAAGAGCTGCAATTGCGAATTTGTCACGGAGGACCTGACCCCTGGGCTCAAAGTCAGCATCAGAGCCGTGTGGTGAGTGTGCTTGCCGCCAAGCCTGGGGGGCCGAGGGGGCTGCAGGGGCCATGGCGGCTGGGGGAGGGGGCCGCAAGGGGGCTGCAAGGGGTCACGGGGGCTGGGAGGCTGCAAGGGGGCCGTGGGGGCTGGGGGGCACTGAGAGGGGGCTGGGGAGGGCCATGAAGTGCCCTGGGGGGACCAAGAGGGGACCCAGGGGAGCCGTGAGGGGGCCTAGGGAGGGACCACATGGGGGCCTGTGGTCATGAGGGGGCCTGGGGGAGCCACAAGGTGGTCTAGGGGAGCCACGAGAGTGTCCAGAGGGGCTGTGAGGGGACCTGGGGAGGGCTGTGAGGGGACCTGGGAGGGGCTGTGAGGGGCCCCCTCAGCCTGCCTGCCACGGGGTCTCAGAGCACAGAGTCAGAGCCTCTAAGAGCAAAAGGAGACAGATCCCAGTGAGCCCAGCCACCCCGCCTGGACACCTTGGTGTCTGCTGGGACCTGCGGGTGTTGGTTAGGGGCTGCATGCTCCAGGGGAGGCCTTGACAACACCCCCCACGGCCCCTATGAGGGAGGGCATCAGGGTGCCGTGTGGCCCCATGAGCTGGGGTTGGGGGCTTAGCTGGGTCCTGGGCCAACAAGGGTCCCCCAGCTTGACTGCAGGTGTCGGGTGAGGCTGCTGACCTTCCCGGCCTGTGCCTGTGGCCACAGGGAGACCTGTAGGGAAGACCGAGGTCAAGGAACCAGGCCTTGGACAGGGTGGGCAGGCCAGCCTGCAGGACGTGGCTTGCGTGACCCCTGCAGGCTCAGCCCGCCCCCACCCCGCCCTCCCTTAGTGTCATGAGATTCCTGGTGTCCAAGCGGAAGTTCAAGGAGAGCTTGCGGCCCTATGATGTGATGGATGTCATCGAGCAGTACTCGGCCGGCCACCTGGACATGCTGTCCCGCATCAAAAACCTGCAATCCAGGCAAGAGCCCCCGCCTGGCCCTGCAGTTGCAACCTGGGTCATTCTAGCCGAAACCAGGCGAGACCAAGGGTTCTCTTGGGTCAGCAGCCGCCAGGGGTGCAGGGAGGGCACAGGGCTGGGCTGGCTGGGGCACGGCAGGAGCCCTGCTCTGCTGCCCACAGTTCTCCGCCCCTCGCCTGCTCTCTCAGTGTCCCCCACCGGCCACGTGTCAGCTTTCTGCTCTGTCTCATGTAGATGGATTTGGTGTTAATGTCTCTGCCTTCTCTGCTCTCCATATTATGTGTGTGTGCACATATATGTGTGTGTGTGCACTTGAATTTGCATGTGTGCACGTGAATGTGTATGCACATCTGTGTGTGTGCACGTGTGTGTGTGTGAGTGTACAGTGTGCATGTTTGCATGCTCGCACATGCTGTGTGTGTGCAGCTCTGTATGCATGCGTGTTTATGTGTAGACGCAAGTGTGTGTATCTGCATGTGTGTGAGCAGATTGTGTGAGAGTTGGCCTGGGCGCCGGCTTGTGTGAGTGTGTGGTTGCATGTATGTAGTGTGTGCATGCCAATGTGTGCACGCATGTGTATGTGTGAACTGGCAGCTACATGTGTGTTCATGGGTGCATGCATGTACGTGCGTGCACACAAATGTGAGCGTGAATGTGTGCGTGTGTATACACAGCTCTGTGTGTGCCCGTGTGTATATGTGTATACATGCGTATGTGTGCTTGTGTACACGTGTGCATACATACATGTGAGAGTGCACTTATGTGCGTTTGTTGACTTGTGTGCATTCACACGTGTGTAGGCATGTGCGAGAGTGTGCACTGATGTTCACTGTGAATGTGTATGTGCGCAAGTGTGTGTGTCCCTGTATGTGTTCATGTGTGTGTGCACATCAGTGAGAATGTGTGCCCGCACATATGTGTGCACACATTTATGTATCTGTGTGTATATTGTGCCTTATACATCTTGCCCATGTGCTCTGTGTGTGTGTGTGTGTGTGTGTGTGTGTGTGTGGTGACTGGGGCAGCTCTTCTGAGAGATGAAGCCTCAGGATTTCTGTGGTCCCTCAGGCAGCAGTCACACTGCATGGCCCCTCTTCTTCCAGAGTAGAGAGGTGTCCATCCTTCCCAGTTTACTGAGCAGGAAGCTGGGGTGGGAAGCATTCTGAGGCGTGGCTGTCACCAGGCACCCTGTAGCTGCTCTGTGTACAGCCCCACGTGTGAGAGCGGCTCGCACATTTCAGCAGTCAGGTTACATACACAGTTGTACACACAAGTGAGGGCCCATGCACTTTCGTGAACACGTGGCATTTCTCAGGACACACACAAGCACAAACGTACAGGTGTGGAGGTACATATGCACACCTGTATGCACATTTGCACATAGGTGTCCAAATGGACCTTGGTTGTGCACCCACACGTGTCCGTACACTGGCACATACATGATCATGTTCTTATCCTCATGCCCACGTACGGTATGCACAAAACACACACTCGTGCACACTCGTGCACAGGTGTGCACGCTCAACCACATACAAATGTACACACACACATGACTGCAGATGTGTGTGTTTATGGAATCTGTGAGGAGCAGTGCTTAACGCGCTCGGCTGTTAACCAAAAGGTCGGTGGTTTGAACCCACCAGCCGCTCCGCCGGAGAAAGATGTGGCAGTCTGCTTTCATAAAGATTTACAGCCTTGGAAACCCCATGAGGCAGTTCTATTCTGTCCTACAGGGTCGCTGTGAGTCGGAATCGACTCGACGGCAGTGGGCAGTGAGGAGATCAAACAGCTGTTGTCGTGGGTCATACACTTCTACCAGCCTTCCCACCACTGGGCCCCCTCAACAGCGGCTGCAGTAGGTTCCCAGCCCTGGAAGCCCAGGCCCTGGTTACAGGGCGAGAGTCTGGACAGAGGGGCCTCTGGAAGGAGTGAAGGCCTTATTCTGGGGAGTTGGTGTGCACCCTCAGAGCACCTACCCTCTTCTGCTCCTCTGATGCTGGGGAGGAGCCACTCTAGACCTCAAGCGATTCCCATTGGGCAGGGAGCCCAAGAAGTGCCCCTTCCTCTGCTCCAGGTGCAGACTGGGGTGGTTCCTTGCTCAGTGTCCTCCACAAGCATTGGCTAGACTTGAGTGCTGTTCTGTGCGTATGAACACACATGTGGTACCACCCTTGTGTGTGCATGTGTGAGGGCGTGTGTGTGTGCATGTGTGAGGGAGTGTGTGTGTGTGAGGGAATGTGAGTGTGTGAGGGAGTATGTGTGTACTTGTGTGAGGGAGTGTGTGTGTGTGTGAGCATATGTGACAGTGTATGTGTGCACACTTGTGAGGGAGTGTGTGTGTGAGGGAGTTTGTGAGGGAGTGTGGTGGGTGTGTGAGGGAGTATGTGTGCACATGTGTGAAGGAGTGTGTGAGATAGTGTGAGTGTGTGAGAGTATGGGTGTGTGAGGGACTGTGTGTATGAGTGTGTGAGCATGTGTGATGGAGTGCATGTGTGCATGTGAGGAAGTGTGTGTATACATGTGTGTGAGTATGGATGTGCGAGGGAGTGTGTGAGGGAGTGTGGGTGTGCGAGGGAGTGAGTGTGAGCATGTGTGCATGGGTGCATGTGAGGAAGTGTGTGTATGTGTGTGTGAGTATGAGTGTGTGAGGGGGTGTGAGTGTGAGGGAGTGTGGGTGAGGGAGTGAGTGTGAGGGAGTGTGGGTGTGTGAGGGAGTGTGTGTGAGGGAGTATGAGTGTGTGAGCACGTGTGATGGAGTGCATGGGTGCATGTGAGGAAGTGTGTGTGTATACGTGTGTGTGTTGGTGTGTGAGAGAGAGAGAAACTATTCTGGTGTCTCCTCTGTGGTACGTGTTTCCACATCTTTCTCACTGCAGCTTTTCATCCCCCAGGCTCTTCTGTCCTAAGTTCTCCTTTCTCCTTCACTCTGTCTGGAAAGACAGACTAAACAAACCACCTAGGAGCGGGATGTGTCTGTTCTCTGCTGACAACGACTTACATGTTGTCTGGGGTCCACACCTCTGGTATTTGCTGCCCAGCTGCAAATTTCCAGCTCTGCATGCTGGCAGCTCGGCAGAGACCTGGGAGGCTCAGCAGCAAGGGCGTACGGCTGCCGGCCCCCCGGCTCCCCGAGCCGAGCACTTTGCTTGAACACCGGAAAGATTTGGCAAATCCGAGGTCGAGCAAGTGTGGCGCCAACTGCTTTCTGTTTCGAGCAGAATATACTTGTAAGAAATATCACCCGTGGTTTTCAGCTGAGTTGTCCCTTCTCTTTCTGCCAGTTTCTGGTCACCTCTCCTTCACGTTGCTTCACGATGCATTTTGCTGGTGTCTTTTTTCTTGTTCACTCTGCCAGGATAGATATGATTGTGGGTCCCCCACCCCCTTCAACTCCCCGGCACAAGAAGTACCCCACCAAAGGACCCACAGGCCCTCCGAGAGAGTCACCCCAGTACTCTCCTAGGTTAGGACCCAGCACCCTGGACTGTCTCTGTGGATCAGCCCCTTCCACTCCAGGCCACATGACGCGGCACCTCGCTCACCCGCCCCTGGGATGGCAGCACTTGGGAATTTCTCCTCCCCACAAGGCACTGTTAGGGGAAGGGCCACCTCCGCAGTCAGCGGGGCTGTCAGGGTGCCGGAGAGCTGAGCTGTCTAGCAGCTGCTCTTGGGAGGGTCCTCCAGGGAGCCAGGCTCCTCTCCATGAACTTCTGGGTGACATCCACCTGGGGCTGGTGGCTTACCCATGGAGGTGAGGACAGCCTCTCCAGGGTCAGACATGCAAGAGGGTGACCTTCCCAGCCCAGCCCCCACAGACTCACCTCTGCAGCTGCCCCCGCTAAGGTCCGCACACGTGGCCCCTGTGCTTCTCTCCTCCCGTGTGTGACGTGGATGCAGCCACCGTGATAGGTGACCGCGGCATCTGTGGAGGGCATGGCCCCAAGCAGCACAGAGCTGCACTCCATGAGCTTGGGGGTTCATAGCTGTCATCTTACTACTGTCGATAAACAAGGAGCTGGGACCCCCAGCTGATGACAGGGGGGTCGGGCACAGCTAGGGGGTGAGTCAGCAAGGGCAAGCTCCTAGTCGGGATTTGGATCTTTACAAGCCTTACGGTTTCCCTGGGACTGCTCAGTGATGGCTACGACCTCCGCCTCCTCTAGCAAGTCACCCACTAAGGGAGAGCGAGCCCAGGGCAGGGCCGAGGGAGAGAGAGCTCTGGGCAGGGCCGAGGGAGAGAGAGAGCCCAGGGCAGGGCCGAGGGAGAGAGAGAGCCCGGGGCAGGGCCGAAGGAGAGAGAGCCCGGGGCAGGGCCGAGGGAGAGAGAGAACCCGGGGCAGGGCCAAGGGAGAGAGAGCCCGGGGCAGGGCCGAAGGAGAGAGAGCCCGGGGCAGGGCCGAGGGAGAGAGAGAACCCGGGGCAGGGCCAAGGGAGAGAGAGCCCGGGGCAGGGCCGAAGGAGAGAGAGCCCGGGGCAGGGCCGAGGGAGAGAGAGAACCCGGGGCAGGGCCAAGGGAGAGAGAGCCCGGGGCAGGGCCGAAGGAGAGAGAGCCCGGGGCAGGGCCGAGGGAGAGAGAGAGCCCGGAGCAGGGCCGAGGGAGAGAGAGAGCCTGGGGCAGGGCCGAGGGAGAGAGAGCCCGGGGCAGGGCCGAGGGAGAGAGAGCCCGGGGCAGGGCCGAGGGAGAGAGAGCCCGGGGCAGGGCAGAGGGAGAGAGAGAGCCCGGGGCAGGGCTGAGGTGGAGAGAGAGAGCCCAGGGCAGGGCTGAGGGGGAGAGAGAGTCCAGGGCAGGGCTGAGGGGGAGAGAGAGAGCCCAGGGCAGGGCTGAGGGGGAGAGAGCATGGGGCAAGGACAGTGTCTGAAGGGGGGACTAATGGTCCTCTTCTGTGCCCAGGTTGAGGTGGGCTGGGTGAGGGGCAGCATGGTCCCATGACCTTTGGCCTCTCCCCAGGAGGGGGCAGCCTGGGAGCAGGCAGGATCGGTTCCTGCTTCCCTCCCAGGCAGCCTTCTCTCCCGGGAAGCCTTGAGCAGTGTTTTCTGTCCCCTGTCTGAGCCCCAAGGGATGCTGTGCCCCAGAGGCAGACCCTCCTACCCCGGGGGCGGTCAACTGTGAGCTGTGGAAACCCAGCCGTTCGGCCCCCTCCCTTCTCACAGATCCCCCAGCTGCTGCATCTGGGAACACACACATTCACTGAGCGAAGGGGCCGGAGGACAGTGGGGCTCCCCCAGCCCAAGGGGTTCAAGCATGTGAGGTTAAGCCTGGCTCCCTACCTGGGGCCTGGGGAGGAGACGGTACAGGCTCCTTGGAGGCCCTCCCGGCCCCCAGCCCCTGGCTGGCCCTGGCCCTGGTCCCTGTCTGCGAGCAGGCGGGCCGCGTCACGTGGCATGGACGGAGGCGGTGAACACCGTGCCTGGATCGTGCAGACCCTCAGAAAGGCCAGAGTCCCCCCAAACCCATTTCCGTGGTCTGCTTGGAGCCAGGGTCCCCAACCCTGCATGCATGAGTCCACGCATGAGCCCAGGAGCATGCGGGCTGCGTCATGGCTGCTGAAACCGGCCCGCTTCTGCTCCTGCAACACGGAGAAGCGTCTGAGTCCCCCCCGCCCACCCCACCGGGGCAGACAGGAGGGAGGCTGGGGCTCCTGGGGCTGGGGCCTTGCTGCCCCTCCCCCATCAGGGACACCAGGGGCTGCCCAAGCAGGGGAGATGGCGTCCCAAACCCCGTCCAAAAGGGGAGGGGGCGAGCAGTGTCCTTGAGCCAGGGAAGTGGGATCAGCCAGGTGGGCACGGTGTCCTGTGGTCTTGGCCTGGCCCTGCCCCTCTGCGTCCCTTCCCAAGAAAAGATGAGCAGGCGAGGCCCGCCCAGGTGCAGGCCCTTTCCCGCCATCTGTCTGTTGGCCTAGGGCAGCTCAGGGCTGTGTGCCTGGCGGTGCCCCAAGTCTACCCCAGCCACAGCCTGGCCAGAGCCCCACTGGCCTCACGACAGGTTCTGGGTGGCTCCTCCTGTGTCGGAGCCCTGCAGCCCCTCTCAGGGTCCACAGGGGAGCCCTGTGATGTGACACCTCCCAGCCAGTGTGACCTACCTGGGGTCCTGATACCTTGCTGGTCAAATAAGCCCTGTCCCCAGGGAGAAGAAGCCACCTTCCCTTCCTGGCAGCCGTGACCCAGTGGTATCATTTGCAACCAGCTCAGCTGCATTCTGACAGGATACCCAAGCACACCTGTGCATACGTGCACACTCGCACACAGGGCACACTCGTGCACGTGCACACAAGGCACAATACACATGCACTCATGCATGCACACGGATGCACTGATGGTGCACACAGGCGTGCACACGTGAGCATGCAGGCAGACTGGTGGGCAGCGGCTCTGTCTCCACCTCTGTGCGTGTGGCGGTCCCTCGCTGCGCTGTGCCGCCCTCCCTGTCCTGCATGGAGCTGAGCTCTCACGCCTTTTGCCACCTTTGTTTCCGCTTCAGACGTTAACTCTGCCCCCCCAGACTCCGGCCTGAAGGACTCCTCTCTGTGGCACATTATGTAGGAGTAAAGCTGCGGGTGTGGGGGGCTGGGGGCTGGGCCAGGAGCGCCTTCCAGAGCAGGGGAGGGTCTTGGTGTGTCCCAGCCCCTCCACCCTCCGGGCCTTGGTTTGCCTGGCTGGGTGCGGGCTCGGTGACGGCCGACGGCAGGAGGAGCCGGTGTGGATGAGGACTCAGGCTCGTCCAGGTTTGCCGAGGGTCTGGGAGCCCCGGCTTGAGAGGGGCGGTGGGAGGGGGAGAGCTGGTGGGAGGGGGAGGGGCGACTGGCCCAGTAGACCCCTTCACTTTACTCCTCGCTAATGTGCCCAAGTGCTCTGGGATGGAGCGAGGGGTTGAGCCCCGAGGGGGTGGGAACTGGGTGCTGAGAACGAGACACGGTGTCCGGTGCCCTGAGCTCTAGGAAGCCCGGGCCTGGGGGCTGTGGCTTGGCCCGGCCTCTCCGGCACCAACTTATGCTGGGGGGGTTCTCTTCCCGGCAGAGTGGACCAGATCGTGGGCCGGGGCCCAGCCATCACTGACAAGGACCGCACCAAGGGTCCAGCCGAGGCAGAGCTGCCCGAGGACCCCAGCATGATGGGGCGACTGGGCAAAGTGGAGAAGCAGGTGGGCACTGGGGGCTCTGGGGGCTCATGGGAGGCTGCTGCAGGGGCTCACGGGAGGCTGCTGCAGGGGCTCACGGGGAGTGCTGTGGGGGCTCACGGGGGTTGCTGCGGGGGCTCACGGGGGCGCTGCGGGGGCTCACGGGTTGCGGGGGCTCACGGGGG